AGTTGATGGGTGTGCAGTTGGTCCTCATTATGTTTGAGCTGTGCTCAGAATACAGACTTTTCATCTGGCATGCAACAGGGGGAAAGCATGACAGAAGAATGCTTCCCCACAGAGGAAGTCTCCAGGGATCCCTGTCTCAATATTCAAGCCTTTATGTATCTAAGGGACCATCCCATATTGAGACAGGGATGCTTGGAGGCTTCCCTTGTGGAAAAAAGGAGGAACTCCAGGGACACCTCAAGGTCCCACCACTAAAGGGAGGTGGAGGGAGTAGTCAAGGAAGGGAAAGAACCTTGAAACAGGCCTACTGTACCCATATCTCTCCCAACTGTACACCCATCTCTCCTGACTGTGTCTCCCTCCTTCCTACAAATTAAGTCTAACTGAAGGATGGTATTGTAATGTAAACTCCCAAATGGAGCCAAGATTCCTGATCACCCAGAAAATACTCAGGCCACATGGTATTACAAAAGAGGTTCAGTTTCTTTTTCTGGAGGCTGTCAAAACCCAGTCATCCAGTACTGCACAAAACAACCCAAAGATGTCCAGGTCAGGATGGACTGTGTTTGCCCCAGGGCACTATGGGAAGTTTACTTGTTCAACTGGCCCTTTAATCATGAGATAATGTCCTTCTTTCTTTCTTAAGCTTGTATTGCCTTAAAGTCTATTATATCAGAAAGTTATATTGCTACTCCTGCTCAATTTTGTTTGCCATTATTTAATTGATGGATATGTTTTTCATCCTTTGATTTTTAATCTATTTTTATTTTTGTGTGTAAGGTGTGTCTCTTGTAGACGGCATATTGAAGGATCCTGTTTTTGTATCCATTCTGCTACTCTGTCTCTTGATTGGTGCATTTAATCCATCATCATTCAGTACAATTATTGATAGGTGGATTCCTGATATGGAGCAGTAGGATCAGCATTGAACAGTGAACCACAACGTCTGCAGTTTAGATTCACCAGCTGCTCCACAGAAACCCTATACAGGGTCACTATGAGTCAGAACCAACTCAATGGCACTTACCACCACCACCAACAACAACAATGAATTGATTACAATCATTTTACTGTGATTTGTGTGTATGTGGTGCTGCTGTTTTCTTTTTCCACAAATTTTTCTATGTTCAGTGCATTTTGTTAGTGCATTTTCTTGTCAGTATCTTCATTGACATTGTTTTAATGTTTACAAAATCTTCATGGTTTTCTCTTTTCTTGTTTTGATGTGAAGGTATATTAATTTTCTTTGAGTTGACATTGGAATGAATTAATTTCTTCTGCAGTTTAAAACAGTTTGTTTTTGTCATGAAATCTACTTGACTTCCTCATCATTTGTAAGTTCTGTAACTATGTTTTTCCCTATTTTTTCTTTGTTGTTTTCTTCATTGTGAATGAATATCTCTGATGCCTTATTTTCAGTCTTGTAGGTTTGTTTTACTTTGGATACTTCTATAGCTGGACTGAACTCTGCTTGCTGTTACTGTGTATGTCAATTTCTGCTTATTGTCTGTTATTGTTGGTTTTCAGTCCAAAGGACTGCTTTTTGTATTTTTGTAAAGTTGGCCTGGTTTTTACAGATTCCCTGTTTATTTGGAAATGTTCTAATTTTTTTGTCATATTTGAGGGATAGCTTCACTGAGTTTGTAATTCTTGGTTGGCATTCATTGTCTTTCACAATTTTATTTTAGTTTTTTGGTGTGCATGCTATAGTTTCAAGTTAAATTAATATGTGATATCTGTCCATTTCACTATGTATAGATAATAAACTGACAATAAATGAAGAGTGAGAATGAAGTAACATTTCCCCTCTAAAATTTAGACAGAAAATAGTAAATTGAAAAGAAAAAGAGCACTGAAGGAAAACATAAAAAGAAGTTAATAAAAGTGAAAGTAGAAAGCAGTACACACAACAAAATTACATTTAGTTGCTTTTTTAATAACAAAACATACACATTTAAAACCCACTGCTATTGAGCTGATTCTGATCACAGCATCCTGATAGAGGGTTCCCAAGCCTGTACATTTTGACAGGAGCAGAAAGTCTCATTTTTCTTCCATGGAGTGGCTAGTGGGTGAAAACTGCGTACCTGTTTGTAGAAATCCAGTGGTTAAAGAACACATAAATAGGTGAAATTATAAATGCAAAACGAAAATGAACTATTGAAACTAAAGAAATGGAATAAAGCCATAGAAAAATTTGGAAATAAATCTAATAATTGGTTAAAAAGTATAATTTCCCAGGAAAATATATTTTACCAAAACTAACCCTATCAGAGATGAAAATATTAAATATGCATTTTCAAGGTGGATTCAAAGGGTAACTCTGGTGGTGGGAGTCCTGGTGTGGCACTGTGTGATAAAGTATTGGACTTCGAGATCAGTTTGAACAAGGTTGGTGGTTAAAACTCACCTTGGAAACACTATACAGGGTTTCTCTGAGTCGGAACCTACTCAAGGGCACTTAACGACTTGAGACAAAATAGCCCCAATCCACCCCTTTTTTTTTCAGGTTCCATAGAATAAAAAAAAGGAATAAATGTCTTAATTATTTTTAAAAATCTCTATTGAATCTTCTTTTCTAATAAAAACAGCCATTCTAGCCCCATTTATCATGATTAATCATTGCTTGCCTGGGGAACCTTTAATAGTTTTACCTAAAACAGTTCTTTGCTAGACACTGTTGTTTTCCTTAGGCCCACTTCTACCACCCTCTTTACTTCTAACCTAAACCTAGATTCTAATCCACTTAATTCCTGAAAGGAGAAGTACAGATATAACTCATGATGAAGTATACTACACTTTAAAAAATGATATGATGGTTCTAATTCATACATAGAGAAGTTCTGGGAATATATGGATATTAAGAATTGGATATTAAGGGTGTATAATAATGGTGGGAGTAATATAAAGTTATAGTTGGTCAATTTTATTGATATGGGCCCATGAAACAGAAATTCAGGACTGAAAGTTTTGGAGCAAGGGGCTAGAAAAAGGCTCTGACTGTTCGTTTAATTGGCAGAAACATGGACCAAATCGTGACCTGTATTAAATAAAATTGCAATTCCACAATATCTTTTCTTTACTGTAGAAGAAACTATCTAGCATTTAAAGTTATCTGAAAGTTAGAGTAGATTTACAGTAAACACACACACACACACACACACACACACACAAACCCCAACAACACACAACCCCCTGCTTTAATACATACAGCCAAATAGAATATATTTGAAAGATAGTCCCAGCATACTTGAAGAACTCTGATGTCACTTGACTGTATGCCAGATATTACTGTGGGACTTGCTACCATTGAACTGGAATGCTTAAATGTAGTGGAAAGTATTGAATTCCAAGTGGCAGCAGCCAAGTGGCAACACATATTCACCAAAGACAAGGTGGTTGTGGCTATCATATTGAACAGCAGAGTCAAAGCAGCAGTCAAATTATTGTGACTCACAAAGACCTATGGCGTTGACTGGTTGATCACGGTGTCCCCACATATGAAATGGTGGGAAGCCTACTAAATTATTACTTGATCTTTATTAATGGGAGAGTTCTAGGTAAGGTGAACATGAATCTAATTTGATTATCTATAACAGAGAATCACAATCCTTCAGTGTTCCCAGACTTGAGCCAATTTGTACTCTGCCATGGGCTTTTTTTTTTTTTTTTAGGTTTGAACACATTAACTTTATTCTATAAGCAATGGGGATTCCATGAAGGTTTTTAAAGTAACAACTTCTTCTCTCTCTCTTTTTAAATGTTTAAAATATGTGCATTATAGAAAACTGAAAAGCAAAGAGCAAAAAGCAAAGAACACAAGATATCCAAAATCAATTTGATGATTTGATGGCAAGTTTGACATCCTATTTGTGCATACACATAACTAGTTGAGGTCACACAGTAGGAATTCATGCTTTTTCACACATTATGATGACAAACTCTTAAAGGAATGGGAAATTGATTCTCCTTGAGGTAGGAAAGTGTCAAAAATGTACACTGCAAATCTTTCTCCAAATCATCTAGCAATACAAGGGTGACTGTATACTGAGGACAGTTAAATGGTTCAAGATTGGGGTAATTATTGGACACTTTATGCACTAGCAACAATTCCAAGAGACCCAAATGACACTGTGGTCCAACAGTCAGAGAAGGGGCTTGTGAAGGTCAAGTGATCAATAGAATTTTAGCTCAAATCTATTTCCCATCCTATGGGAATTTTCTCAGTTCCATAATGTTTAATTGGAAATATATGCTCAGCAATTAACATTGGTTCCCTGACTTGTGAAGTGAGGACTATTATGGTCGGAAAGGTCATGTGCACACCACTAAAATGGCTTCTGACTAGGAATTGATATTAAAAAAAGCAATTCCACAATCCTGGCAGGATTGTGCAGACTAGTGCTACTGCCAAGGATTGAAAGATAAGGGGTGCTCATTCCCACCACACCCCTATTCATTTCATTCATTAGAATTGAGTGGAAACAGTGAAGAAAGTAGTACCATGAGAATACTTTTATAAAATAAGTACTCTTGAGACTCATCAAAAACCTCTTATTGGTAAGTGCCTTGAATCAGTTCTGACTTATAGCAACCATTATGGGATTTCAGAGGAGCATCTGGTAGGTTTGAACCTCCACCTTAAAATTCAAATGGATCTTGAGGTCTAGTTCATATCCTGTAGTGCCACACTAGGACTCCTATTAAAGATCTGCTGAATTATAATATCATGAATAGTTTCATCAGGGTTAGATGTCTATGTGTGTGTCTTCAGATGCATGTTTATGTAGAAACAAATTCCCATTAAAGAGAAATATCTGTCTGGTATAGTGTAAGGATTGATAATGGAGTATCAATTTTGAAAACAGAAAGACAAACTATTTTAAGAAAAAGATGTAGTTGTTAAATGATGTCGAGTTAGTTCTGAGTCATAGTGACTTTGTATAGTGTTTTCGAGGAGTAACTGGTGGGTTTGAACCACTGACCTTGTGATCCAGTACTTATTCCACAGCACCATGACGTTTAGTGATTCTGACTACTAACCGGAGGTGCCCCATAATTGTACCCATGACTTTCCTGAGCACATTTTTTACATCCTTATTCCTCAAACTGTATATCAAGGGGTTCAGCATAGGGATCACTGTGGTATAGAACACAGAAGCCACTTTCTCCTGGGCCATGTTGCTACTTGATTCTGGCTTAAAATACATGAATGTGATGGATCCATAAAAAATCCCAACAGCGGTAAGATGAGAGCCACAGGTACCAAAGGCTTTGGACCTGCCTTCAGCTGAGGGCATTCGAAGTATGTTAGAAAGTATAAAGGCATAAGAGATGATGATGGGCACAGTTGTTGCTATCACATTGAATCCACCTATGAGTATCACCAGTAGTTCATTGATGTAAGTACTGGAGCATGAGAGCTTTAAGAGAGGCATTATGTCACAGAAGTAATGGTGGATGAGATTGTCATCACAGAAAGACAGCCTGGTCAGGAAGACAGTGTGAACAATAGCTCCTGAGGAAGCTATGATATAGACACCAGTCACCAGAGCATTACAGACCTTTTGGGACATGGTAACTTTGTAGAGCAATGGATTACATATAGCTACATATCTGTCATATGCCATGGCTGTCAGCATGTAGCACTCTGCAATAGCAAAAGCACAAAAGAAAAAAAATTGAGTCATACATCCAGGGTAAGAAATAACATTTTGCTCCCACAAAAAATTTCCCAGGAGTTTGGGTGTAACAACTGAGGAGTAAAAGAGATCTAGGGATGACAAATTACTGAGGAAAAAGTACATGGGTGATTGCAGCTTGGAACTGAACATGATGAGGAGGATCATCCCCATGTTCCCCACTACAGTGACCACATAGATCCCTTGGAACAGGAGAAAAAGCAGTAGCTGCAGGTCTGGCTTGTCTGTCAATCCCTCGAGGACAAACTCAGCTATTATGGAATAATTTTGCTTTGCCATAGCCCTCAGGAGAGAGGAGATGTGCAACTATGAGAAAGAAAAGTCACAGAATGTAAGGAAGTATTTGACCATGATTAATAATAATCCTGTTAGTTGTGTGAGTTAAAAACAACAAAAAAACACAACACTTGATCATCATATTAAAACACTGTTGTTGTTGGGTGGTATCAATTCCATCTCATAGTGAAACTGTAGCACTAAGTAGAACTGTCCCATAGGAAATAACAAGGCTATCATCTTTATAAGAACAGATTACCAACATGTTCTCCCACGGAGCTGCAGGTTGGGTTGAACCACCAAATTTTCAGTTAGAATTTAACCATCGTACCATCCAGATTTCTTAAAATAGCTTAAGAATGGTAAGTAATAAGATGCTACATTGCATATTTCATGTTACTAAATCAGAGGTTAGTCAGCTGTACAAAGTTAAATATAATGTAACCTTTAAAATTATAAGTTAATTTTTAACAGGATAAAGATTTCAACAATTATGTAATACTCTGAAGATTTTATGTGTGTCTAGAACAAAGAATGATGCAGTAATTGTGGTTTGAACTTGAACTACATTTTACAATGCTAGAGAATGGTGGTGGTGGTTATGTGCCGTGGAGTCAGTTCCAACTCATAGTGACCCTAGACGGGGTTTCTGAGGCTGTAAATCTTTACAGGAGCAGAAAGCCTCATTTTTCTCCCTTGGTAGTTTCGAACTGCTGACCTTAAAGTTTGCAGCCTGATTCATAACCACTACACTACCAGAGCTCATTGAGAATGAGGTTCTAGGATTTCAAGGTTTTACTCAGTCTTTAGAAAATAATTTCAGGTTTTGTTGGATATTTTTTGTACAGATGGATTTTGATGCTCACGGAAATCAAAGAGAAACTTCTATGGGAATGATAAGTTCTTAGTTTTAATACTTAAAATTAAACAGTTTCTCAACTCTATACAGGAGATATTTTATTCAAATGAATTAGTACTGCATTGTATTTGATTCTTCTTTTAAGGAAGAGCTTTAGGAGCTCTTGTTAAAGTGCGTGTATGCATCTGAAGTAATGATATATGAAGGAAGAGAAGACTACATCATTTTCTATATCTCTATTCACTGCACAGTTCAGAGACACCAGAAAACTCCTTTCCTCTAGCTTCAATCATGTTTCTTATTCTAGTAGCCACATAAACTTGAACTTAGAATATTTGAGTACAAATTTGTCATTCTCTTTAATATGTGCATTTCACTATACATACTTTTGTAAATATATACTCTGATTTTATTTACTTACTTGAATGCTGTCAGTTATAGAGGAGTTGTTGTTTTTAAGTGCCTTCCAGTCAATGCCGACCCATAGCAACCCTGTATAGGGTTTCCAAGGAGCAGCTGGTGAGCTTGAACCACTGACCTTGCAGTTCAAACAACTTTGCAGTCTGACGCATTAGCCCACAGCGCCACACCAGGACTCCAATAGAGGAGTAGATCCTATTAAATTTAAGGATTCACTTGTGTTTGTTTTTGTTAAGTGGTTTCAACTCACAGTGACCCTTATAGGGTTACTCAGGAACAGCTGGTGGGTTTGAATCTCTAACTTTGCAGTTAGCTGTCAGTTCTCATCATAAATCATCCCACTAGGAATCCAATATTGTGAAATAAATTCATATCGTTTCATGGGAAACATTTCTTGTCCAGAGCCTTGCTGATCTTGGTTACAGTGTGATGTGACACCTACCATCAAGAAATCAAAACACAACTACTACCCATGAAGAACAAATACAGCCTCTTTTATAATTTGTAAAGCTGTGGCCCTGCTGCAGCTGTGCCATTAATGTCACATTTGGTGAGCCACTTTCATTGTCTGTAAAAATAATGGTGGTTGACAGAAGATCGCTAATTTAAATTATAAACCCAGGATTTAAAAATTTGCTGACTTTACTTTAAGATCTTCTTTCTTCTCTACTTCTTCTGAAGTCTTTTACAAGCAAGAGAATACTCTGGCTTGTTATTTATAGGTTTTGAGCTCAAAGGAGATGAGTGAATACAGTATTCTCCGAGGACCTCAAGTCCAGGGGAGACTCTCTGATGTGAAATTCTTCCTAAGAAAAAAACACAAATCAATTACTTAGTTATATTTGTATACAGAATAATAGTATCCCATGAATATTGGGATTTTCCTAGTTGAAAGTGTAAGTTTTTCTTACACTCTTACTTTTTAAAAGGATAACACTGTATGCAGCAGTGGGAAATCACTATGACTCCCATGTTGGAAACAGATAGGCAGCATGTTGATGAGAGTGTTCTCACTGATTTCCAAGAAGAGAGGCCCCAGCCCTCATCTCCATGTGTTCTCTAAAAGGAGAGTATAGTACTCCTTCTATTTAATTTCTCATTGTATTGTAATTCAGAGCATCAAAAAACTAGTCTCCAGTATCATTGAGAAGCATTTTTGCATTATTAATGTTGATCTAAAGAAGAAGATATGCTATCCTTCTAAAATATTCCTTAACTACTTTGAAAAAGTTTTACAGGGAGATAAGAAAAGTTTGTAAGTTCCTATTTGTTTCTTCAAAAACAGAAATCTTGACAAGTCATGGAGATTTAATCTAATGTTTGCACATTTTGACATTGAGACTGTTAGAGCATTTCAAACTTACTTCTAGGTGCTTTATTTATTTATTGAAATTAGGCCCTTCTTTCTCCTGGGAAGATTAAGCATTCATTAAGAAATGTAAAGGACATACTCTGAGATATCAGTGACATATCTTTCATATCAACTTCCCTAGAGCTTATCCTCCTAAATCTCATAATAATGAAGGAAAAAAAAGACTTCCAGATACATATTAAAAAGAAACATGGCTTCCCCTTCGCTAGTTTCCAAGGCCAATGTTGCTTTAGAAATAATTAGCTTTTATTGTGTTAGTTGGAGTCCTGGTGGGGCTCCGTTGAGTAAGCACTAGTTTGGTAACCATAAAGTAGGTGGTTCAAACCCACCAGGTAGGTACCCCAGGTAAAACCTATACAGAGTCGCTATGAATCAGAACTGACTCCACAATACTTAACAACTATAACAACCTGTCTTGGTTTTTATATTCGTTAATGGTCAACTTATACAAACCAATTACTGTGTGATTGTTTTTCTCTAGCTTAATTTTGATCATCATTTTTTTTTTTTTAAAGTTTTTACTCCGAATTATGTGATAGTTTACATGGGAGAACATTAGCTTTACATTTATCCTATCGTATATCATTTCATTGCCATGATTACAATCCCCTCCATGCATCATCAAACAACCAAAGGGTATAC